TATTATTAAGGACTGAGGCAAAGAAAGCATTACATACCTCAGCCTTTCCCTCATCCTTTGTCACTATGTTTCCCTCTGCATCCAATAAAGGATGGAGAATCTCCTTAGCCCTCCTTTTGTTGTTAATGTATTTATGGAAACATTTTTTATTGTCTTATATAGCAGTAGCCAGATTAAGTTCTCATTGGGCTTTTGCCCTTCTAATTTTCTCCCTGCACAGCCTCAGAACATCCTTGTTGTTGTCCTGAGTTGCTCGGCCCTTCTTCCAGAGGTCATAAACTTTTTTTCTTTCCCTGAGTTCCAGGCAAAGCTCTGTTCAGTCAGGCCAGGATTACCTCCCTATATATTCAAATACCTTGAAAAACTTGAGATAAAGAAATATCTGCAAGCTAAACAGCTTCTCCCAAAAGCTCTAGGCCAACAACCACTCTCATGATTTTCCATGGCTAAAGAAAGTTCACAGTATTGTTTGCACTGGTACCCCAACACATTTAAGATTTCTATATTGAAAAAGCAGTAAAACTAAACAGGTTATAGAAATTAATTCTTCACATCTGTTTGTATTACATTTAATACAGTTTTGAACTGAGACGTGGTGCTGATTCTCTGCAGACCTAGGAGTTTCAACTCTTTTGAATTAAAAGTAGTATCTACTTAAATATCACACAAACTTTCATTCAGCTTCACTGCACTACTCCTTCAGGCTTAAAGCTAGACTTAAGTATGATAGCTTAGATTTCTAACATATTATTAGCTACAGTCACAAGCAAAACTATTCATACAGTAAGTAATCTTTTTTGCTTGCTGCATTCATAAATATGAGAAAGCACTTCTTGATACACTGAACAATGCTACTAAAAGTGTCTAAAATTTACACCACTTTGGAGCCTCAAAACATCAAAGTTACACAATCATCTCCATTCTACAGCCAAAGAAAGATGTAGGTTTACTTATTAAGGCAGTAGTGCAAGACAAAGCCCAAAGCATCTCTCACCCACCAGCCCGGCACTCCCCTCACACCTCACTGCATACTCTAAGCAGCAACAGGAACCTGCCCTACTCAGAAAACATGGCAAAAAAATACCACTAGGAACACTCCCACATGGTCTGTAGCCAAAAAGCTGTCTTCTTTTCCGAATTTCCTTTCTTAAAGAAGCAAGTCTTCGCTCAGCCCCACTCACGTGGGGGACGAGACCAACACCCTCAAGAGCTCTGAAGCCACACACAGGCCCTGCCCCCAGCACCGCGCACCCACAACGGGGCCAGGAGCTCCTACCTGAGGCCGCCCACCTCTCATCTTCTCCTTCCTTGTCACCTGCCCGTCTCCAGAAGTAGGAGAAGACCTTAGTGAAGAGACCGAACATGGCAACACACCCTCCGCGTCCTGACGGCAAACACCCCTCTGCCCAACACCCCTCCGCCGCCCGCGCCTCAAGCCCCCCACGAGGCCGCCGGCCAATCAGGCTGCTGGCTGCTGGTCACGTGGGAAAGCCCACGCCGCGTGCCTGAGGGGCGGCGCGCCTGAGCTGAGGTGCCGGTTGTCCCCTGTCTGTTATCCTCCTCCCCCGGCCCCTTCCCCGGCGTGAGGAGCCCGCATTCCCGCCTGACCCGCCGTGAGGCGCCGGTCCCTTCTCAGGCGCCTCTGTCCCCCTCTGAGGGGCGACGATGTCCGTAGAGCTGGGACGGGGCGCGATATCGCCACCCCCGCCGCCCTGGCTCCTCGGCAGAGGCGGCACAGGGCCCTCTCTTGGTAGGGCCGAGTGGTGGAACGGTTGGCAGGAGGACCTCCTTCCTTAGGGTTTCAGGGCGGCGGTAGTTGGGGAGATGGTAAAGATGGTGTCATGTGTGGTTACCACAAAAAGCTTAAAGCAAAGGGGTGTGCCCAGCCTTTTGGTTGCTGGTGATGCTGTCTGAAGTTGCAGTCGTGCTGTGTGACAAGTTTTCCGTGTTTCTGTAAATAAGGAGGCCTAGGCAGGCAAAATCCCCGGGCAGGCTGCCATCTCGCTGGCGCTGGGGGCTCTCAGTGCCCTTGCGTGGCACTGGGCGTAAGTCTGAGATGAAATCTCTCCAGTGTGGTAAAGTGGAGTACTTGGGAGAGTATGCACATGCAAATGTCATAGTGCTGAATAATATAATATTGGTAACATCCAGTTTCAAAATGACAAAATAAGCTCTAGAAGATTGTAAATTTGGTTTACAGAAAAAATAGTATTTTTGTCTTCATATCATTAATGTAGGAGCTGCTGTGGCTCTAGAGAAGTAAAATTTTACTGACTTCCTTATCGTTGCCATAGTTGATATTTTTACCAGTTCTCTTCATGCAATGCACTTTAGGTGTCTTGTATAAGCCCCCTTTAAATTTTATCAAATAGTGCTTCACAAAGCATATTTTTTGAATTGATGTGCTCAGCATCCCAGTAATCTCACAGATTCACCATGGTTGGAAGGGACCTCTGAGATCATCGAGTTCAACCTTAAAAAAACAAAACAAACAAAAAACCAAACGAAAAAACAAAACCAAAAAAACCCAAACACACCACCAACAAAACAAAAACCACAACACCACACCACATCACACCCACCACACACCAATAATCTTGGGCACTAGAGCATGCCCTGAAGAGCCATGTCTACACGTTTCTTAAATACCTCCAGGGATGGTGACTCCACCACCTCCCTGGGCAGGCTGTTCCAGTGCCTGACCACCCTCTCAGTAAAGTACTTCTTCCCAATACCTAATCTAAACCTCCCCTACCGCAACTTGATCATTTCCTCTAGTCCTGTCATTATTCACTTGGGAGAAGAGGCCAACACCTCAATGGGAACTGCAGCGTAATACTGTTACAGGACAGTTTCAGGAAGCTGGGCAGAGCTGTGTATACGTTTATGGGAAATTACTTTATGACTGCAGACTGCAGAAAGGCAGCATAGGCTGTGATTAGATTCTGAGATTAGAGTAGCAGTTGTGTTTGACAACCTTTCATTTTCTACTTGTATGGTTAACTCAGTATTATTTAGACAAAGAAGGGCTAGGAGTGCATTGCAGATTGTTTAACACTTTTACGTAGTTCTATACAGTTCCTAGACCAGAAGAAATTCTGGTTGCCAGTAATTGCACACAGGTTCCAGTGTCTTGCTCTGAAGTAAGTGAGGCTGTTCGGAGGAGAAACGTGTATGAGTGTCTGTAGTCCGTGATCTTTTTAGAAAAGTGCTGAGGGAATGACAGCCTTGACTTTTAGATACATTGATTTAAAGAATTGTAACTGCCATTTTCTTTCACTAAGATTTTTGTGGAGTGCAGGCAGAGGAGTGTTGGTTTGCAAAGCTGCGACAGATGAGGAAGTTGGTTTTATGGAGGAGGGGAGTAGTTACGCATGCATAAATTCCTGTCTGAAGATCCTAAGTAGTTCGTAACAGCCTTCCCAGGCTGTGATTCTCAGGAATCTAATTGCAAGAAAATGGCCTAGGCAGAAAATACCCGTATTCAGTCTGGATGTCCTTTAAAATAATGTTAAAAAACATTTAAAATACTGTTAAAAAACCTTTAAAATGCTAACATGGTGTGTTTATGACATCAATAAAACTAGAAGTGTTTTGTATTTTAATAGCATGCAGTGGATAGCATATATACCGATCAAACGTTTTTAAACTCTTCAGATGATGATTCATGTGAAAGACTAAATTCAAAGAAGTTTATATTATACTAGGGGCACAAGACATCCTTTTGAAGCTATTTGGCCTACCTTTTGCTCTTGGTTCAGCACATGCACCAAGACATGAGCTGGGAAACAAATGTTGAGAAATCAACTCCAAAGAAACAAAATACTTCAAAGAGCTGATTTATTTAAAAGAGCTGAAAATACTGAACAAGGATTACAGGTAATGAGCTAAAATAGTGTAATTAAATATTGCGTGGAAGAATGCATAGGTAGCAGAGCTCATGAAAACTCATCAGAAAAAGGAAGGGTTGATGAGCCATGGTACAAATAAATTTCACCAGAGCTTCAGGTGATATATGCTTTTGCATTTAGATTTGGGAACATGGGTATGAGCCTGGGTTCAGGGCTAGGGAAACTGTTCCAGGACAGAATGCTTTTTTATTCATTACTGATACAAAAATAGGACTATGACAAGTTCATGTTCCTTTTTATCATACTGTCCTTTGGCAGATCAGTTATAGTTGTCAATCTGGTTTTTGTCTTTTGTGGTTACTGTGGGGGATGCTTGCATGGCATAGCCCTAGCAAGTGACCTAGTATCCGCTATAGGCGTAGTAGTGGCACAGGACTTTATGAATTGTTTTTATTCAAAGGGATTAGATCAAGTAAATATCTGAATATCTCACCAGCTTTGTGTAAAAAAATAAGTTGATCTCCCTAAATTGGTCAAAAGGGATAAAATATGATCCTGTTTTGCATCTATGGTGATTTATGTTGGAGCAAGCCAGTACCTAGCATTCATTGAAAACAATATGAAGTAAGTATTACCTATTTTCCATTAAACCATAGTCTTTTAAAAGTTACAGATAATGGAAATATTTGCATGGTATTTCTCCTGGGAACAGAGGAACAGAAGGGCTTGGTTACTTAAGACAGTTCTGCTTGGCTACACAGTCTTTTTTTCCCCTTTTTCTAACACAGTTTACAGCTGTGTCTAATGCTGTGTAGGGTGTATTAATTTCCATGTTTTAATCTATTAAAACAACGGTAACATTTTAATATTCTTTCGGTATTGGCTGAGATTATGAGAAGAGCGAAATCTACATTCCATACAAATTGAGAAGTAGCACTGTTTTAAAGTTTTTCTAGCATACTTTAAAGGTGATGCCCTTCAGAGTACTGAAGATTTAATTGTGTCTTGGTTACAACAGTGTTTAAAGTTTACACAAAAGACCCTGTCATTGCTGCAGCTGTCAAGGTGCCAACATCTTCAAGATAAAAGCATTCTTTTTCTTTTTTTTCATTGCTTAATAAGCAGGAGGACTGGATCCAATGTGCGCTGGGCATTGCATGTCACTGCTGCCTGCTAGGTTTAAAAATTGTTCTTGAGACATCATGGTTTTCTGTAAGTATGAATGTCAGCATAACTGAAGTGTGTGAAGTGTGCAGTGCTTATTTGAACACTCTAGAAAACTAGGGTTAATAGAAAACGATAAAGAAAAATTCTGCAGTGAGGATAATACCCTAGATAGATTTCTAACCTCTAACTTTTGAACTTCCCAACTTTTTGGGATACTTGAATACTTGAATTTTTATCTGTAGTTCAAGAATACTGCGTTGTAAGTAGTTTTTGCTCTTTTGGAAAAAGAACTAGATTGTTGAACAATGTTATCACTCGCTATTATAATAACTAAAAGTGGTGAACTATGAGGAAGATTTTATTTAAGATGCCAAGTAAGGGGTAGTACTCAAATAAAAGAGACTTGAAACTTTTTTAATTTGTTGGTCTGATTTGGAAGCAGCTCTATGAGAATGTAGTACAGTCATTTTCTAGTGTGTTCTGTTAATTAAAATTCAGGAGGCATTTTCCTGTTCCCTGGCTTAACTGAAGTTTTTGCTGTGCTTTTGTTCCATATCTGAATAGATGTTGTTGAAAGCCAAAGTGTAAGGGAGAACTTTTCAAAGACGGCATGACTCACTGAACGGTGAGAATATCACAAAGTGTACAGGCAGCTGTGTTCACAAGACTGTTCTAAACTGACAGTTAACTTTTCAGTTGAAGGTAAGCATGAAGATTTTTAACTGTTGAAAAATCTGCAGTAACTTAATTCTAATGTAAGATACTACTCAAGGTACTTGAACAGACTGGTAAGCAGTGAGGTGAACATAAAAAGGGCAAAGTGAACAAGAAAAATGGTTGATACTGCGTAAATTAGAAAAAGTTTACTGTAGGTGAGTTATTGTGAGTATATGAGTTCATCGCACTCACAGTGAAGTCTGTCATTTTAGATACCTGATAAGAAGTGTTAAAATCAAATGGAAGTTAATATCTAAACATGTTTAAATATCTTTTCTGACCTAGAGTTCAAAAAAAAGAAGAAGAAAGCAAAAAGCTTTGGTTATAGAGTTACCCTGAAACTAAACACTTCCAAAAATGATTATTAGATCTTAAAATAAAGGTCTGTTGAGGTATCATAGATACATAAACTTGCATTTTCTTGGTGTTTATATGGTATTGTTATGAAATGTGGCTATAGGATATAATTTACTTACAGTATGCCAGTAAGTTGTTAGAATGCTTACATATTTTGAAATGTAAATGCAGCTCATTACTAAAAATAGCTTTTATTGATTTTATCTTAAATAGACAAAAAACTAGTTGAGCACTGATCTGAGTATGTGAAGGAACTAAATTGTATTTTTGATCTTTCTGCATAATTTTTGTTACTATTATTATTTAATCGCCGTTGTGAAGTGTTATGACCAGGGAGGAAGGTTACAGAGAAGAATTTAGCTATGACAGGATGCCAACTTTGGAGCGTGGAAAACAAGAGAATGGAAATTATATACCAGATATCAAATCCAGTGACCTTCAGCTATCAAAGAGGCTGCATCCTTGCTTTAGTTACAGAACATGGATCTTTTCTTTGCTGATGGGAGTAAGTACTTTAAACAATATAAAATTTGAAAGTGTAGGTGAGGTCTCAGTGCCCAGTAATCTGTTCTGTTTCATGTCGTTTGGGGACTCACAGTTTCATCACTGATAGTATTGAATATAAATATTTGTAGAGAAAGGAACATATTTAGCAAATTTAGAATGTAACACTTAAGTGACAATGATATTCTTTGGATAAGTCTACACTAATCAAAGATGCTATATGAAGGCTGATTTTTGTCTTTAATATTTGTCACATTGCATAAACAGAGTAAGTGTGGTAGTGGTAAATATCAACCCATATGTGTGTATAAGTACTGCCTTTTGGGAAAGGACGTAAAGTATCCTGATCATCAGCATTCTCTTAGCATATTTTTAACTGTTAAAAATACTTTATTTGCCATGATAACATTTTGGCATTGAAAATGATATATAGTACTTATGTGCCACTTTCATCTTTCAGGATTCAGTAGTCATGTAGTTATTTAGTAGAATCTTCATGTAGTGAGGTATATACATCTGGTTTTTATGTGAATGTCAGTGATTTGAATTTTTGTGTCACTGCTAGAGTCATAGGACATTGATCATGCATGTACATCATATGCTTGTGTTCTGAGCCAAGTTGATGAAAGTTCATTATAGCAATTAGAATTTGATCTTTTCTTTTTCTGTTTGCTCTTGTGTTTTGAAGAGTAATTTTTGTTAAGAGCTATGGTAATGGTAATTACTTATTTTTGCACAGTGAATAAAAGTATTGCCTTATTTTCATGGAAACGGCTGAACATTTTTTTCTTTCTCACAACCTGTAAAACTTGGATTTCCTTTCAGGTGTACTGTTACATAAAAAGAGAGCAAAAGAAGAGCTGGCTTTCTTTGCATTAAATTTTCTCAAACTTAATTGTCAAAAAGGACAACTGCCTTTAATTAGATTTTTCCTTTTTACTGAGTTGTTGTGAATGATTTGAGATACTAGTGTTTAATGATCATTTGCTGAAGTAGTATTACCAAGAATCATGAATTTTATGGATAAACATAAATGCAATTTTATTAATAAACTTATGCAGTAGTTTCCTGTTAGATTTTTCTCCCAAGTACTATAGTGGTTCTTCTCTCTAAACACTTCTGAAAGATGGTGTCCAGAAAGGAGAGTCTGTACACTGGGCAACAGAAGTCATTGTGCACAGAACGTCTGCTTCAGGGAGCAGTGACATCAGAGTGGCTGCTGGGATGGACTGTTCTTGTGCAGGAACAATTCAATATGCTTCAACCACAATTTAAAGTTACATTCTGTAGTGTTCTTCCAGTCTGCCAGAATTCTGAGTGTGTGTGCCTAAAACCACATATATGCTATCCTTATTTTCTGTTAATTTTTTGGCAAGGACTTTTTAAACATCCCCTAATTTTGTAACATTAAAAAAAAATGCCCAAATAAAACAAAAGAGCCATGCTGTCTCTCAGCTATCCCAGCCCCTTCAAAGAAATGCCTACTTTGAGAAATGACAAAGAAAAAGAAAAAATGTCAATAGAGTACACTATTGCTGAGAGTGTAACTGATAATTATGAAATAAAGAGAATAATTAGCAAGGAAAGAGTTGAACACTTATAGGTGTGCTATTGGACCAAAGCAGGAAGAGAGTTTGGAGGGAGCCAGGGATAGGTGGAAAAGTCTTTGTCAGTATATCCTAATATTATTTTTGTTACTGTGTTCTGGTTGGTAATTGCCCCGCTGCCCATATGCATAATGAATGTTGGTGGAGTCAAGCAGAGAATGCAAAGTAGAGGCTTAGTTGTGGTTTCTGAAACATTTTTACCACTGAACACTGCAATTACCTTCTGAGCATTTTATTAGTTATTTGCCAAGTCAGGGCACAGTGCTTGATTCAAACTGTGTTGTTTCAAATGGTATTGTTCAGTAGTGAGTCTTGGTAACCAGCAAAACATCTTCTTCAGAACTCAGTGTGTTTTGATATTTTGCTTCAAAATTATTCATACAAAGACTGAATTATTAAATGTTCATCAGTAGCCTAATTTGAAAGAAATTTCTGATTTCTATCTGACTTGTTGCTTTTCAAAAAATAGTTTTATTCATATTAATTTATCTTATTTGTTGCTTTGCAGACTTGCCTCCTTATTACTTCTGGCTTTTCACTATATCTGGGAAATATTTTTCCATCTGAAATGGATTATTTACGTTGTGCAGCAGGTTCAGTAAGCATTCTTAATTATTTGCTGTGGCTGTTTGACAGCAAAATCAGTAGCAAATAGTTTTTGTGGGTTTGTTGTCTTTATATTCTGTCGGTCTTTTTACTGTTAACTTTTTTCATGGAAAATTTAAGTATATATAACAGTTCATTAAGTGGGTTTTCATAAAGACAACTGGTTTGTGCTACCATTTTTGTTAACCAGCTCACCACTGGAATACAGTAGTTATCTGCATGAACAATTTTTCTGTACTTGATTTTAAGAAAATTTGCATTAAGTATTTGGGCAATTTCCTAGCTAAATGCTATCAGAATGTATTCCAGATCGTATTTATTTCAAAGTATTACTTTTTCCATGTATTTTGCCACGTACTGAAGCAGACTAGAAAGTTTTCTTGAATATCATTACTTTATTAGTAAAATATGCGTTAAGGATGTCTGATGCTTTCCAAAGTTCAGTATTTTTTACTGTATTTTTAGGGACTTATATTTGTTTTACTGTATTGTATGTGCTTAATGTATACACGTTAGATCTGTGTGCATAAGATGAATCTGATGTACTTGTTCATTTCAGGATTCTGTTCTGTCATTGTTATTTTTGCAACTTGACTTGCCTGTTTGTGTTGTCAGGTGCAAGACTAATGCTTTACTTTAAACGAACAAGTCCCAGGAGTTGCTCTGTGAATGAGTTGTCACTTATTTTTCTGCCAGAGGCGTTAGAATAAGGTTGAAGCAGTTTTTGAAGTTAATGTCTTCACTGATGTGTTATTCTCTGTAACATTACTGCTAGTTACTGAGATTTCTCTTTTTCTGCCCCAAATCTTGTCTCTCTGTGTTTAGTCAGAATTTCCAAAGATCTGGTAGGTGCAGAAGGTTATCACATCAGGTTTGAATACCTTGCTGTGGGTAAAGATTTGGGTGTCTGTGTGTGATCAGGGTGTTATAGCTCCTACTGCAGATAATGGCATCAATATAGTTGGAAGAGCCTGGAGAGCTGTACAGCCAGCTGACCACCAAGTGTCTCATTTAGCACCAGCTGACTTGCTCTCCAGACTAGTAGTAGGATTGAGTTGCCTAAACATAGTTACAAAGTCTTCTAGAGACTCTCGGGTATCCACAATAAAAAGGATGTTTTAATTATGTTAAATACAGGTCATTTAGGTGTTAAGGAAGTGCTGCCAAGAATTTTAAATGTCGCTATTAATCTAGTTATAGTGGTTCCATTGTTAAGCCATCAGTGCTCAGATGTGTGAAAAGATAATTAGTAAAGAAATGCAGCATTTGTTACATGATTCATTATTTAACATGGCAACATTTTTAACAATTTTAGTGGAGTATATTTTTATTTTGATTATTAGTATGTTGTAACATTATGTATTTGTGGATCTGTAATGGGGTGGGGAACAGTTGAAGCATAAAGAAATTACTTTGTGAAACTTTCACTTATGTATGATTTTTCCATTTAGCTCTGCCCTGAAGTATAGCAACACAGTTCCTAGTGAATATATTTGAGATCCCAGCACAATTCTTACAGTGTAATTTGACTCAAAAGATCAGTTTTTACAAAGTTCTTCAGAGCTGTGTTGAGACTGGCCAAATTTTAGCTTACACAACCATGACTTTGTCTGTTGGAAAGAACGTGGAGGCCCAGTTTGGGAGAAGCAGTGTTTTTCATTTCGTGCTGAAGGATCTCAGGCCTTCTAGAGTTAATTTAAACTAACAAAGGCGTGAAATGCCTCATGAAAGACTTTCTTTCTTTCCTTTACTCATCACACAGTGCTGGGTAGCTAGTCAAAACTGCAGGATATGCAAGGAATGTTTAAACCTCTTGTAATCTTCAGATTGTAATTAATGATCTCAGACAAAAGTGACTGACTTTCCTCAGAGTTTCTGATTTCCTATTTGTCTAAGCTAACTGAAATATGAATTAAGACCAAATAAATTACATGTACAGAAATATATATAAAATTATTTGTGCAGAATATCCCACTAGTCTTCTCTTTTAATTTTCCCAGTGTATTCCTTCAGCAGTTGTGAGCTTTGCTATAGCAAGGAATAAAATTAATGTGGTAAGTATAAGATTTTACTGACAATTTTTTTTTCCCCTGTGATTAAAATGAGAAAGAAACTCATTCTGAAAATGTTTTTCAGATACCAAATTTTCAGATTCTGTTTGTCTCTACATTTGCTGTTACAACAACGTGTTTAATTTGGTTTGGATGCAAACTTGTCCTCAATCCATCAGCTATAAATGTAAGTTACTAAAAGAATTACTAATTAATGCTACATTTATCTTTGTTAAAAAAAAGAGGAGGGGAGTGAGGTGGGTGGAAATCACATGTAATTATGTTACTGTAAATACCCCAGTATTCCTACTTAGTCTTTGAGGAGAGATCACCAAGCAGTAACTTTGCTTTTCTGAGTCAGACAAGACTGGAAAATTTACGTCAAAGATGGAAACTAATATGGCTAGAAGATGCATGGTACAGCTAACTTAGAGGAGGTTAATATGGAAATGACTTTCCTGTCTTATATTCAAAGTTCAAAAACATGAATTGGGTCTTCAAATGTCATCCAGTTTGATCAACTAACTGTTGATTTTTCTGTTGACTGTAGCAAGTTTTGTGAGTTTGTTTGTTGGTTTTTGTTTGTTTTTTTTTTTAAAGAGTAGAGTCAGAATAGAAAATTGAAAATTAATTAGTATCTCATCTGTAGATTAGCCAATTTTTAAGGTTGAATTGTACTGAAATGAGGTGTCTCAAACAGTGCTACTTCTAGGAGATTTCATCACCAGATTAAGTATAATCCTTTCCTGGTTCTTCTTTAATGGATAGTTTTGCTTGTGAGGCTACCAGGAAATAAACTTTTGGTTAACATTTTTCTTATACATCATCAACAAAGAGAATGCAGCAGTTGCATCATTTGAATCATACATATTTAATACAGGGAAAAGTTTTTTTGAGTCACAACCTTTTGAGTCACAACCTTTTAACATCTGTCTTTGGTAGTCTGAGCCAAACATTAGAACTACAGGCTGGGTTTTGGTTTTTTTGCTATGGTAAAATGTTCTGGGACCTCTATACTAATAAGAATCTTACAAGTATTAGTAAATAACATAGCAACTGATATTATCCATTGATGAATATTCATAGCAGGCTATCATAGAACAGGAGTACACAATACAACTACTCCATACATTTCGTATGAAGGTTAATGACTGCTCTTGTGTTCAGTTCTTCACCCACTGTCATATCAGCTGTTTTGATATTAAGAGCTCAGCAGTAATAATGGCTCCCTGTAGTAATATAGCAGATCTGAGTTAGTGTTAGTAATAAAAGACTTCTAATACAAAAATAGTGCAGAGACTATAGTTTGCTTTGGAATTATCTGTGCTATTTGAATAACATCTGGTTAGCTCTAGATTTCACAGATACTGAACTTTTAAATTAACCATGTTTATGTCCCATCAGAAAGTGCAGTATATCAGGCCAATACTTTCAAAGTTTCTTTTTGTATTAGGTAACTAAGTCTAGCTTCATGTTTCTGTTCGTCTGGCCCAATTTTCAGAGAGATGATGGAGTATTGCAGTCAGTCAGAGCTGTGGAGATTTGAATTAAAGTAATAGTAGTTTTAGAGGGGGACAGTTTTGCCCTGTGTTTGATGGGACAGTGTCATGGCCACTGGGTTCTGTGTGTATCTCAGGACAGTTTATGCTGGTCTGTTGGACCGGCCACCCTCCAGTCGTCTGGTACCTCTCCTGTGATCTATCAACAGTCCTGATCAACAGGAGAGGTACTAGATGATGACTGGAAGGTGGCCAACATGGCGCCCATATACAAGAAGGGCCGGAAGGATGATCTGGGGAACTATAGGCCTGTCAGCCTGACCTCGGTACTGGGAAAGATCATGGAGAGGATCATCTTGGGAGAGCTCTCACAGCTAGTGCAGGGCAGGCAAGAGATCAGGGCCAGCCAGCATGGGTTTATGAAAGGGAGGCCCTGCTTACCCAACTTGATCTCTTTCTATGATCATGTGACCCACCTTCTTGATGCAGGGAAGCCTGTGGACTTTGGTAAGGCTTTTGACACCGTCCCCCACGGTGTTATCCTGGAGAAGCTGGCGAATCATGGCATAGACAAGTGTACTCTTCACTGGGTAAAATGTTGGCTGGACAGCTGTGGCCAGAAAGTTGTGATTAATGGGGTGAAATTTTGTTGGCGGCCGGTCACCAGTGGTGTCCCTCAGGGCTCAGTTTTGGGGCCAGTCCTGTTTCATATCTTTATTGATGATCTGGATGAGGGGATTGTGTGCACCCTCAGTAAATTCACAGATGATGCCAAACTAGGTGGGAGTGTTGATCTGCTTGAGGGTTCGAAGGCTCTACAGAGACCTGGACAGGTTGGATTAATGGACCAAGGCCAATGGGATGAGGCTTAATAAGGCCAAGTGCCGGGTCCTGCATTTCAGTCTCAACAGCCCCAGGCAACGCTACAGGCTTGGGGAAGAGTGGCTGGAAACCTGCCCAGCAGAAAAGGACCTGGGGGTGTTGGTTGACAGCCGACTTAACATGAGCCAGCAGTGTGCCCAGGTGGCCAAGAAGGCCAACAGCATCCTGGCCTGTATCAGGAATAGTGTGGCCAGCAGGAGTAGGGAAGTCATTGTGCCTCTGTACTCGGCACTGGTACCTCGAGTACTGTGTTCAGTTCTGGGCCCCTCACTACAGGAAGGACGTTGAAGTGCTGGAGCGTGTCCAGAGGAGAGCCACCAAGCTGGTGAGGGGTCTAGAGAACAAGTCATACGAGGAGAGGCTGAGGGAACTGGGCATGTTTAGTTTGGACAGGACAAGGCTGAGGGGAGACCTCATTGCTCTCTACAACTGCCTGAAAGGAGGTTGTAGAGAGGTGGGTGTTGGCTTACTCTCCCAAGGGAATAATGACAGGACTAGAGGAAATGGTCTGAAGTTGCAGCAGGAGAGGTTTAGATTAAATATTAGGAAGAATTACTTTACTGAGAGGGTGGTCAGGCACTGGAACAGCCTGCCCAGGGAGGTGGCGGAGTCACTATCCCTGGAGGTACTTAAGAAATGTGTAGACGTGGCACTTCAGTGCATGCTCTAGTGCCCGAGATTGTTGAGTTGTGTCTGTTTGTGGGATTTTTTTGGGATGTTTTTTGAGCTTTTTTTGTTGTTGGACTCGATGATCTCAAAGGTCCCTTCCAAACATAAAGATTCTGTGATTCTTTGCACAGTTTATTGCTAGTGTAGCAGTTCCCTCATGCATTTTCCCCCCTCAAGTGTCTTAGGCTGTTGGGGCTGAATGAATTATGTACAAGACATGGGGGTACTGCTTTTTCCTTTTCCCTTCCTTTCTTGGTAGAGAGTTCTAATATTAGAAACCAGTCCAAGCATTCTGAGAGAAAACAGCAGAGAAGTGTGACTGGAGACTAGCAGACCCTTTGAGCTTCCTTCCCCTGGTAGATGGGATCACAGTGTGGCTGGGACAGTGGAGGGCGATGTCTGCCCAAGAAAGGTGAGCCCAAGGGACTCATTTAGTCACCACAATAAATAGTTGTCACAAGACCCAGTGTGACAAAACTAATTTCGTTTATGCTCTTGAGAAGCTTTGAGCTGGCCATGTGTGTAAGATTTTAACTTTAGTTACATACTTTTGAAGTGAGTAGTTTTTAGATTGCATAAAAATTTGCATTTTCTATTATTAAATATTAACAGCTTTCATATTTTCAAGGCAGATCAAACTATTTGAAAAAAGAGATTATATTAGCCTGGAAATATATAAAGTATTGGAATAGTATAAGTGGACAAAAGTCTGGAAAAGTATAAGTGACAAACATTAAATGTGTAACAAGGGAAATTCTCGCTTTGTCAAATGTTAGTTGTCTACAATAATATCCACAAGACATTCTCGGTTATGTGGTTTTAATTCTTTTCGCTTGCCTATTGCATGTCCATACTGTGTTGTTGATCACTGAATAAAGATAAATCAGGATAACTGTGTGTGCAAAACTGACTCTGAAGCTTTTTTGAAGCTTTTTGTCTTAAGAGTTATTCACAGTACTGACTTACTCTCCTCTTTGAAGGATACTGTTTCAGTGAGACAGTCTCGCTGTTTGGCAGCTCACTGCCAGCGATTTTCCATTACCCATGTGGTACAAAGAAAATGTTGAATCCCATCTCTTTAACTGTTCTTTCATCATCATATTTATTTTCTCTCTCCATGGGAAACTGCACAAGAAAATAATAGTAGGTCTGATGTGAAATCACCGCCAGTAGTTTAAAAGCAGTTAGGCTCATAAAAAAGGGTAAGTTTGTCCAATTAAGACAATTAATATTGAACACTCCCCCTTCCCCTCCCATAAAGGATCCGGGTCCTTCATTAGTGTTACTCATGTTGATGGATAACTCCACAAAATTACTTTAAATAGATAAATGGATGCAAGATACAAGCCATGTCCTAGACTGTGACTGTGTGACACCACTCCAGTGATGTGCAGTTCAGTAGTTAGTTTACAATCCACACAAAGAATGTGATCTGTAAAAGATGCAAACTACCCCTGCTGCCACTCTGTTCCTTCCCAGCTCTCAGAGCAAGAAGCCTGATGGACAAAAATGAGTAAAACCTTGGGCCAGTTGTAACTGAAAGGGTTCAGATGTTGAACAGGACTTAGATTAGCTCCAAACTGAGTAGATACATTTATTGCCTCCTTGTGAGTTGAGTGTCTGTACCTCCATTATAGTAGAGATGATCCAGTCACTGGGACCCCACAGTACAATCTTGTTTGCCTCAGTGTAGATGGCTAAGGCAGGATTCCATGGCCCGAACTTAAGCATCTCTTATTTTAAATGTGCTGTGAAATATTCTGCCCGACTTCTGCTTCTACTCTGGATGGGTGAGAATCTCCCATCAGTCCTCTGTCATACATCCCATTCATGTAGGCACATTCAATATGCTTGAGTATTTCAAATGGCACCAGCAGCCAGTATAATTGAACCCCACTTCTAGTTACCAGTTGGCCCAATAGCTTTTGGGGTTCCCTCTCTTGTCTGTATAGACTAGGTCTCCACTGACAGTAGTGGAAGCCTAGACAGCACAGATGCACACAGAAACTGGAGTGTAGGTGCTTGACTGGGTTGCCTGACCATAAGCATGTATCTCCATTAGGTCTGGGCTGGCTTGAGCTGCCTTGCTCCAGCCACTGATCCAGGAGTGCATCAGTCTCCTTTAGGTCCTTTGTCATTATTTGTCAGACCTGTGCAGATATCTTGAAACATCTGTAGGATATCTTAAACTGAGTTAAAAATACGCATGTAAGCAACTATATTGAACTTCAAATTATTTAATCTTGACATTAATTCAGCCCTTTCATACAGTTTCAGTGAACTATGGCTTTAACACCTGTTGCAGGTTCAGAGCACATTGGATTAAGCTTGTGCTAATCTATTGCTTTCTACCCAGATGCACTTGCATGGTCCTTAGTCATGGAAGAGGATTAGGGACACAGTTTACTTGGTTCTCTGCGTCTGGTGGTAGATTTTATGTCTAGTGGTAGTTGTAGAGATAATTTTCTGTAGTGCTTAGAGATCTAACATTGAATTTCCCATTGTTACAGGTGGTATAAAAAGATACTTACTTCTAGCTTTAACTATATTTCTGTTTAAAAAATAAAACCAGCAAACTCACCTAAATTCCAGAACTGGAGCTGAGATATTTTTAAATTGGTCTAAGGGTGTTGAACAAATTTCATGAGTGGAAGGCTCTATCTGATATTCTAGACATCTCATATCAGAAAAAATACCAGAAAGATAAAAGTTAAATTTGAAAATCTAACGTACTTGGTGTTACTTTTTCAATTTATGTTGTTTACTTCTTATAGCTAGCACTATATGAGCTAGTCCAGTTTAGTTATAGTGCTTCTGGGCTCAAGCTTGTACGTCTACTTGGCTCTGCACTGTATAGTGTGGCCTTGCCCTCCCACCCTCCCACCCTCTCACATCAGTACCAGCACTACATGTCAAATCATGTCCAAATCACAGGAATTTGCAGGCTGGATTAAATTGTTCTGCAGGCCACATGTTTGACACCTCTTCTTTTGCCAAATAATGGCTTTATTCTTCATGCTAGCACTTTCCCTAGAAGCTTGCCACTATGACTTTTATTGCTGTTTGTGGCTCTAGTTCAACTGTACAGTCTGTTGTGTTCTGCAGGGCACATAGTTCCAATTATCATTTCCCAAGAAGGATGAATTTCAGTACCCAGAAAAGCCTCTCTAATCTGCCACTTATGATCTTTTTCAAAAGACGTGTGCTGCAAGATACGTGGCAGAGAAAAACAGATTTGATCATCTACAAAGCAGGTCTGACATGAGGGAATAATATAATTCTGTTCCTTTGCCAAATGGCCTGACCTAACCCGCAAGTGTTTTCTCGGACTGCCAGGGGAAAAACATGGTGCTTTTGAAGGCAAGAGATGGAGAACCATTCTGTCGAACTTGCATGCCTCTAGAAAACTACTCAGCCCGTGTAGAGTAGATACCTACCTCTTTTCATGGCATAATAAGCAACCAAAGAGAAACATCAAGCATTCATTGACATATTCATCTCTGGAAGATGAGCAGTGGCAGGAGGAATGGTGGCATCTATGTTTTTGCACAGTAATGTAGTCTGTTTGACCTGTAAGAGTTGTGAAATCATGAATAGTCTTTATCCTTGCTCTGCTAGCACGAGGTAGAGCACAGAGCTAGGATTCTTGGCCCAGTTCTTGGGATTGTGTTTTCATTCAGCATTACACATTGTATCACACCATTTGGATTGCAGCATAAGGGCTGGGAGCCTGTGGACCTCCTTCCTGACTCCCAGGTCAACTCTTAACCCCTGAGCTAGTCAGGCTTGCTCTTGTTTGTCCTCTTTCTGTTCCTATCAATCTTCCATGATCTGCTGCAGTGTTCTGGTTTCACATGGGAGGTCCTTCAAAATGCAAATGTGGCCAGCAATCACCCCCTTGTCCTTAAGTGCTCTTTTGGAAGACAGTGATAAAATCTTCAGACAGAATATTCCCATAAATGAAATAAATGGGTTTTTTTCTTAGGTTAGACACCAAGACTGTTATGTCAACAGCTAAATGTTGCCCTAGAAATTCATCAAGAGCCAAGAAAACATTTAACAAAGTATCTAATTAATAGACATAATAGATATGTCCAAATGTCACCAAAAATAGATGAACTGCTGGATCCTGGTAGATCCAGTCCCCTCCTGTATTTTTCACATGGAAAATGTAACTTATTTATGTCTGGGATTTTACTGACAGATAAATTTCAACTTGATTCTACTTATTCTGCTGGAAATCTTCATGGCAACTACTGTGATTATTTCAGCTAGGTCTACTGAAGACTGCTGTACGAGAAAGAAAGTAGGTACCCTAAATGATTAAAAATGTCTTTTTTTTGGTGTTAAAAAGTAATGGATTTTTCATGTATTGCATACATTGACAAGTTACTGGTGACTCCAGTATGTAATTTCATATTACATAGAGTCATAGAATAGGGACCTTTGGCAGGAACCTTTAAAGGTCATCTAATCCAGCCTGCCCTGCAATAAGCAGGGACAAATTCTACTAGACCAGGTTACTCAGAGCCCAGTCCAGCCTGACCTTGAATGTTTCCAGGGATGGGGCATCTACCACCACTCTGGGCAACCTGTTCTAGTGAAACTAGGTTCCATGGTAAAACTAGATTTGAATAATAAAGTACCATACTAAAGAGTAATAGCCTCTTCTATCTCAAAGAGTGCAACGGGCCCTCTGCAAAATAACCTGTTGAAACTTTTCAGGACAGGGTTGCTTGAGTATCTTATGAACAGGCATGGCAAATATTTTATTTCTGGTTTGTAGAACAAAACTTAGTGATGTCTGAAACATTGGAATACTGTGACTTGTATGTATGCAAGCAATGCCTTTCTGAAGCCTGAGGTGGAGAAAGTATTCATCATGTATGCCATTTTGGTGGTATCTGGACAATGAATATTGGCTTCAGGATTTGGGGCCATAGATAAAATTTTCTAGGTACAAGTGCTCTCCCAAATCCCACCCTCGTTTTTCTACAACAGTACTTCTTGTAGTTAATAATGAAGCAAATGTGCTGTGCCATTTTGTGTTTGTATTGCTTGCTAGATAAAGCAGTTACTGTTTATCCATATCAGTAAAATCTGAAGGCTTGGGAAGAAAGTGTGTGTTTTCAAGTTGGAAAGGGGAGACAAGGTGACCATATTTCATTTTTGAACAGTGATCGTATAGCAGCTAATCAGGAAATACTTCATTTGTTTTTAATGTGATTGATGTGGTCTGACATTGGTGAACACTGATGTCTCACTGTCAGCTCTGATGGGCCAACCAGACATTGTATGCTGCTGTTAAGATCTGTAACAGTTGTACATGTTATTAGAAAGCAATGTATTGCTTTCTGTATTTTTTGATCATGACTTTTTATTCTCCTCTAGAATACTGCATATGACAGTACCATCGTTTTGAGCAATGTCAGTTTTCCGACTCGAATTCTGAAGTCGTACTCAGTAAGAAAATCTTTGTTTTCTTTCATTAAATCAATTTGTTCGTTCATCTTTGTAAGTGTTAAGCTTCTGTAAAGCCAGGAAGAGATCAGTGTAGGTAAGAGCTGAAATAATAGACAGAAATGAGAAATATAGCTTAAATTTTTTCCTTTTAAAATATTGCAAGATAAATGATAACTGCCGTGTATAATAGGAAGGAAACTACTTAATGACTTCAGGATAAAATAGTGTAAACTGAACTGTTGTTCAATGGAGCTAATAAATGAGAGCCTAAATATGTATAATGAAGCTAATCTTTTTTTCACTTAAGCCAGCTTGAGTTTTGCTGTGTTTAAGGTCTGAAAAACATTGACTTAATGCATAGCTAATAGCATAAATGCATTTTTTTTCCTTCCAGTGGGTTCCTTTCTATATGCAAATAAGAAATTTGGTGTTCAAATGCACTGTTAATAATTTGTGTGTTCTTCTTTGTTTTAGGTAATCGAGGTGATTATTGGAATTTCATCAGTGTTTGGTGGAATAATTGCTTTGAATATGGATGTTCTAGTGTCAGGTCCATATCTTTCAGTAACGTTCTTTTGGATCTTAGTTGCTGTAAGTAGTGCAGAATGAAGGTACTCTTAAAACAGTGTCTTTGATTTTTTTTTTCCATTTATTTTATTTTTCCTCACCCTACTGGAGTTTTTTTGGCCCTAATACTAATTGGCAATTGCTGCTTAGTAAATAAATGAGCGCTTCAATATACTTAATATATTTATGCAATATGATTGTTCTATTTTATTTACTTTGTTTCTTATGTTCTGGTACGTTTTCAGTCCTCAGTTCAGTAAAATGGAAATGAGTAATAAAACAAGGCTATTAGAAGTGAAGTGTTTTGTCAAACAAGTCCTAGGTATTAGAATATTTCAGGCTGCAAACTAAAAAGTTGAGTTTAGTTTTAGCGTGGTAGAATCCTTAGAAAATCATCTTTAGCCTGTCAACCTCAACTGTCCTAAAAGCCTGAGGCTGATTGGTAGCCCTTGTCACTAATAACAGCCTGCAGCTCGGAGCAGTGGATTCACGAAGGATGCTGTGCTACCCATGAATCAAACCTGTTGAGAAAGAAAACAATGAACATTAGATTTATATATGGCTACTATGTCTGGAAAATCCCTCAGTATGAAGTGGAAAAAGATCATAAACAAGTTTTTCAACTTTCAGAATTCACAAAGTTCAGTAAAATTCATTAGGTTTTTATATAGAAGTATCAGGTTTGTACGTGTGGGTTTAAGACACGATACTCATTAAATTCTAATTAAATGAAGATGAGCTTTATCTCCATTTGAGTAATTGATTCCTAATACAATATAATAAGTCTATACAGCCTTTTCAGGAAATTAGACTAGTTGGAATCACGGTAACTCAATTGTAACTTGTATAATTTTCAACTAGATAACTATTTATTTTCTTACACTTTTTTGTTTAGTGCTTTCCAAGTGCTATTGCAAGTCACGTAGCTGCTGAATATCCCAGTAAATGTCTGGTAAGTGTGTAAAATTCCTGGATTTTGTCATAAGAGTGGAGTAATGCTAAGAAAGCCTGCCTGTGATAGTGGATGCTACTGATACTTTCTCACTTGTTTTTAGTTATTTCAACAAAACATCATAGAAACATGTAGCACGAGTTTAAACCAATATTCCTGACAAGAAATCCAGTAGGTCCTTTGGCGACTTAATTCCACCAATTCTAGAAAAGAATTCAAAGGACTGTTTCCTGTTTGCTGTTTGGGTTTTTTGGGTTTTTTTTGGGTTTTTTTGGTTTTTTTTTTGTACTGGTTCCTTGGGAATGGATATTACTATAATAGGGAAACAACACACCTCATATGGTATACCCAGAACTACTTTGATGCTCCCGAGCTGAGGTCCTTCCCATCCTGTCTCCTTTTATTGTGAGCGGTAGTTTCTGAAAGAAGAAAATTAGGTGTGCAGGCTGCACTGGACCTAGAGCCCATTTTAAACAAATTCCTCATCTGCACAACTGACAGCAAGGATTAAGAATAGTCAATAGAATGCATTTATTCCTTAACTGTCCCAGATGTGCAATTAAGCCTCCTTGAAACATCTGTTCTAAGTTATAGTCATGCAACAATATTTAAGCCAGTAATGATGCATGACCACAACTGAAGTGAGAATTTGATCCTGTAGGATGATATTTGAATGAAAACTTGGCTGCTATTGTATTGAAATAAATTTGCACTCAGATTTATTTGCATGGTTATTTTAGGTTGTAAGTCTGCAATATCTGCTGTTAATTCTCATTATTTCATACAAACTGAAGAATAAATGATACTTCTGTACTTGCTCTATAAATTGGGTATTGCTTCCCCTATCTGCATATGAAAGGCACTTTTAAAATCAAACAAAAACCTCATCATCCATATTAAATGGAAAATGAATTGCAAAACAACAGGGTTGAGGCTGGGAAACTTAATTTATTCAAAGCTTGCTTCTGTGTCTCCATGCAATGTAGATGGCTCTTTATTTGTCTCATATGTGTAATCTTACACACTTTTATTATACTTCAAGGAGATACAGCTCACAAATCAAAGTGTTAACTTTTTTTTAATTCTTATTTAACATTTATTTTCTTATTTTCTAGGTTGAGGTCCTGATTGCCATTAGCAGTGTTACCTCTCCTTTGTTGTTCACAGCTTCTGCATACTTATCCTTCAGTATCATGCAAGTTGTTGACATCTTTAAAAGTTATCCACCTGCTGTTAAAGTATGTATTTTTATGCAATTGAAAAATTAGCATCTACCTATTACAGTAGCAACACAAGAGTGAATTAGGAAGTATAAGAAGACAAGGTACTGCATTATAAAGGTTGAATAAAATGTTATAGAAATGATTCAAAAACTCTTATGTGACTAAAGATACAATTTTGTTGAATCTGTTGCCACCCCAGAATTACAGTTTTAAAAGAATGGTATGTTATTGTAAAGAATCACTAAAAATAATATGTAATATGCTGGACTTTTTAAGGTTTTTGTAAATTTGTAGTACATAAATTAAAGATTCTAGGTTTACTTGAAGAATACATTTTTCTGTTTCTTAGGATGTCTACCAACAGGTGACATGTTGGGATTATAAACTTACACCTGGATTCATTCAAAGCGTGGATTGGGGCAGAGAAGAAAAAAAGTTTGCAAAACTTAAAGCATTTCAATATGAAGTGTTACCACTGCATTGCTGAAGAGCTTTCTGCAGCTTTACTGTCAAAGTGTTTTGCAATCCATGGTGATGTTCAAAGAACCATTTATGGGGATTAAAATAGTGTCAATAAGCGTCTTGATTCTTAGTACCCACTAGTCCTTAAGTAGTCTTGTAATTTTAGAAGAAGAGAGGGAAAAAAATTAATAAACTGAGACTTAGGGACTGGAAAACCAGCTTTTGAGTATGTGATCCTGTTTTGATACTGGAGGAGCATAGTATGTTGTTGGACGTCAGGAAGTGGCCACAGTTTACATGCTCACTTTAAGTAGCTTCTCCTGTTGCTTAAGTAGCTTTTCCTGTTGTGTTGGAGACAGAAGACTGGACTGTCTGGACAGTTGGTGTGACCCTGCAGAGTATTTCTTACATTCTTATACTGCTCTGTGTCTGGATGTGGCAAGAGTGGGCTGCAAATGGGAGCGAACGATGAGCAGAAGGTGACAGCAGGGCAGACAAGGACAGTGACATTGGCAAGGGGTACAGTCCTACAGTACCCAAAAATAACCCCAAAACAAGGCAGGTCTGGCCGTGGTAACCAGGTTCAGGCAATAGTTCAGTGATTGCCAGGCAGGTCCACAGTAGTGAGGCAGAACCAAGGTCAGCCAGGAATTCAAGTCAGCAGGGCAAGGTCAGAGCCAGCAAGGCAGAAGGCCAGGCCTGGGCATAGCTGCAACATTGCTCGGGTCAGAGCCTCTGTGTTTTAGAGGGTGATTTCCTCAATTCTGTTCTATTTCTAGAGGAAAAGATCATTTAGCAAATTAATATTTTGTTAAAAATTATGGATCTGTTCTACTTTGAGCAAACTCAGGCATTCAAATTTTAACTGAAGCTTCATGCTGAAATAAACTGTAAATTATAATTTGGGTTAAAAAATGAAATCTAGATACAAATCTCAAGGGGTGGGAATGGCAGGAAATATTTTATTCAGGTAGTTAACAACATACTTAATGTCTCTCTTTTCAGCAATCTTATGATGTACTCCTGTTGCTTCTGATGTTGATGCTGCTAATTCAGGCATGTCTTACTATTGGGACAGTAATACAGTGTGTAAATTACAAGACAAAAATGAAACTACATGATTCATCTTGGACAGCATCACAGGTTAAGAAACAGGAATACAGAACAACAGAGGTATGTATCTGTTCACATACCATTGAAAAATCTGTATTTAAAAATACATTTTTGATAATGTTTTGTGTTACGTAATTCAGAATACAATTAAAAGCTGCTCTGTAAAGTTGTTAATACGCTGGTGAATTTTGTAATCCAGAGATAATGTTTTGCTGGTTTAATGGTAACTGTGGCATGGCAGACACAATATCTGTAAATCTGTGTCAAGTCCTGTTAAAAGAAAACCAGTTGTAAGGTTAAAGCCCCCTTTTGTTCCCGTTTGTAGTCTGGGCTCCCAGTTACAGTGAGGTTCATCATTGTGCTAAGATAAAATGATAGTCCTACTGTCCTGCTCCACAGGTAGCAGATCCATAATTGCTATTTGTATGTCAGAATGATGTTAGAGAAAAGATAGTGGGCCTTGCATTACCATGTTCTGATAATGAGACAGCTATCTATTAAGAAAGGAATGGATTTAACCCTTTCAGCATGAGCAAAAGTTTTGGGCTATGGAAAGAGAGTACTCAATATAGTTGTACCTTTCTAAGGCCTGCTGTGGGGGAGTGAATTTACTAAGCTGAGTTAATTCTCTTAAGTTCCCTAAAATGTGAATGGGAAGAGTTAAGAACCTGGAGCATAGGAACAACAGTGGGCAAGCTGAGTGAGTGTCTACCTGTGTTGTGCAGTATGAAATAGTGTGCAGAGGAGAGTGCCTGGAATCCCAGGTCTCTCCGTGTCCTAACTACACTACCAAAGTCGGTGATAAAGATCAGAATTGGGATTTCCCTCCATTTCCCTCCTGCAGTTTAAAGTTCAAGCAATACGTTCAGATGCAGATTTGGCACATACTTTTTTTAGAGCATAATGGTGGCATTATTACTGCTACCACTTTCCATATACTCATTCATGGTAAAGTGCTATTTCAGGGACTGGGGAAACCCAGCTTTCTTCAGCCTGCATAGGTTAACTACATCCATCTCCTAGCGCAGCACTGTAGCCCTTAGACTTCTCTCACCTCTGCTGTACAGTGCAAAGCACTTTATCCTTTAAAACTAGGAGAGAGTAACTCATGTTAACTGGATGCTTATTGCATGGCTCAGCACTAGAAAGACAGAGTGCTGGATTCAGACCCTGCTCTAGAAAGACCATCTGCATTGCAATAGCCATGGATAGAAAACACTGGGAGCAGGTACTGAAATTCAGACAAGTCATTATACCAACTGGTAATGGAAAGTGGAAGCTCTGGATTTATGTCCCCTCGGGCTGCCGAGGGCATTCGGCATAGGTTACTTATTTTCTGGATCTGTGTCCTGAAAAAAGATGAAGCCCAGCTGCACTTCTACTGCTGCAAGTCACATGTTGGAGCATAGGTCATGGCATGGCTAAACAGATCTATTCAGGGGTTTATTTACACAAGTATGCTTAGTTTGTGAGTCACTGAGAAACTGGGTGCAAGTTAAATGCTGAAAAGAGCACTTTGTCCAGAAAAGCAACACCTTTCTGCTTTCTTTTCAGAATTTAAACACATGAATAATGTTACAGGTGAAGCTGTAGGTCCCTTTGGCTTCTCAGAAGCCTGTGTTCTTAGGCAAGACCTTAGTTTGCTTGCATGTGTGTAGATATATCTTGCTTCAGTTGCAATTTAGGAGGCTACTTCTGGCTTTGGGTTTAGAGATTTAGATGCTAGGGCTTTCATATTTTGGGAGAAATCTTGAACAAATAGCCTAAGTAACGTGTTTAAAATAGGAATTTGGCCAAGTTTCTTCCACCCAAATGTCTCATATATTATACAATTTATATCATAAATATATACTATACAAGATACAAAACTATATAATTTGCAATGTATAGAATATTTCAGTAGTTCAGACTGTAACTATTCATGTTCACATTCTTCTGGCTTCTCTCAGGTATTTATTTGCTTGAAATTCAGTTTTTAACCAATAGCATTGTTTCATGTTTCCATTTGTCTGAAATGTGTTTGCTTTTAGGTTTCCAATAATACCTTAAAGGAATTTGACAAAGACAAAGCCTGGAAAGCAGTTGTGGTGCAGATGGCTCAGTAGTTTGGATTCTGCAAATGTGACCGATACAGTACAAGCCAATACAGTAAATCAACTTTTTGAATTAAGGCTTAAAAACTTTTCAGTTTATAAACAGCAATATAGTTACAGCAGTAGAGCCAAGGGATAACACAGTAAATAATGTCTTTCTAATAATTTTGAAATATGTTGATAATATTTTAACACATCTGTCTTTTCTGTTGGTATCTGTATTCTAGTGTTGCTTTAGAAAATACCTTAGAAAAAAGGTAATGAGTCACAAGGATTTACGCTGATGACAAAATAAAATATGACAATATGCAGTAGGCTTCGTATATTTGCAAGAGATTGTTATAACTGCAGTTATGCAGTCAGTGTAACTGATAAATGCTTTTGTAAAGTTGTGAGTACAAGTCATAATTGATATTTTTGCTTATACTTCACTTTTGTAGGAGTTGTGAAGTTGTTTTGCATCTCATTGCTTTTATATAAATAAAAGTCTTTATTATGTGGAAACTCAAGAATGTGATTGACATTGTAATTGGAGAGGGAAAAACAGGCTGCTCTTTCCCATTAACCTTCCATTTTTGGACTGTTAGATGGGGAAGGGGCTTCCTCTGAGTGGCCAGACACAAAATCTACCCCCATACAGATTGCCTTTTCCTCCTATGTCAATTATGTGTATTATTATGTATATTATTATTATTATCCTCTAGATTTCAAACCCTGTAAGAATTTCCATGCTAATAGGTTTTTTGTTGTAACTAGGGAGATAGCTGCTGACAAGGTGGTGGGGTTTTTTTGATGTTTTTCTGGTTTTATTGTTTTATTGTTGTTTTTTGAAAGGTTCTAGATGTTGAGGTTAATTCTTTTTTAATCTGAAATAACCCAAATCCTTTAGTCAGAGCTTGCTGAAAAGCTTGCCTCTTTGCTTTTGGGGAGGGGAAATAAAGAGAGAGAATGGTATGTACAGTGTGGAGCCCTTCAGGAATGCTTGCATGTTTTCTTTTAAGTATGATTAAGTTAGAATTTGGATTGACCCTGAAGTAACAGTTGAGATATATGACTGTATGTAACAAGGGGAAGAAATATATGGGAATAAGAAAAGAGGTTGTCATAGAGCTACCAGCCATAGGTTCTGCTTTCCAGTGAAGATGAACACCCCTGGTCTCCCTGCCTGGCCACGACTCTCTTCCTGCCTTGTTCAGCACAGCAGGGACTGCACAATCTGCCAGGTACTAGGACTTTCCCCTGCACACCCAGGAAACTAGGAGCCCCACCATGGGTACCACTCTGGAGGTTGAATTCTTGCATCCCATGCAAGAAAGAAATTCATGGGGGTAAGAGGCAGGCTTTTAAAGCTGTGCAGGGCTGGCTGCTGGCATGAGAAGCCTTTCTCAGGCAGAGAAACCTTCATTGTAAATCTCGCTCTCTGGGTAAAAGCTTTTGTAATTCAAAGCAACACCCCCTGTGGCCTTTGCTACTGTCAGCCCTTCTTTGCCAAGTGATTTTATGTGTCGATGTCTGACACAGAATAAATCTCGATTGCTCGTAGCTTTAATTAGGGTGCGCTGGTAGATGATCTGTTTCCACAGCACAACTGGGAAGCTTGTTCAAGGGATAAAAATCACCGTGAGGTCAGCTTGGTGAGGTAACAATGTATGTGCCATGCTATAAGGGTGGAACTGGGTGGAGAGTGTCCTTTCCTGCCTTGCTGTGTTCACTAGTTCAGTAGAATTAGTGCTATGGGTTACTGCTTAGTTTACAACGTGAGTTAGGGTCCTAGCTTAGAAGAAAAGAAGAAAGGAAAAAAAATAGCCCGAGGTAAAATAAACAAACAAATCTGGCTGAAGGATCTTCTGAAAAAGTAAATTTGTGTGCATCTGGTGCATGAGTCCTTCCACTGCTACTAATTTAGCTAGCAAAAGCTAGGAAAGTGGAAGGGGAAAATTGCAATTTTAAAAGCATTTTTTATTCCTGTCTGCTCCAGCAGGCAAATTTCTTCTGCATCTACCAGGAACAAGAACACACAGTTAGCTATTGATATTTTTTTATTGTTGTTTTTAGTAGTAACCTGTCTTAAAAGAACAGACAGGTTAGGAGGAAAAATGCACTTGGGATCCAATTAATCAATTCTCACCTTTGGTGCTTTTATCAACTGTTTTTCTGTTAAGACACATGTCTAGTTATGGCTAGAAAACCAGTATGTGTGCACCTAAGCTCCTGTTATGAACCTGGGCTTAAAATAGAATAATAGAATGGTTTGAGTTGGAAGGGATCATCTAGTTCCCACCCACCCTGCCATGGGCAGGGACACCTCCCACCAGACCAGGTTGCTCAAAGCCCCATCCAGCCTGGCCTTGAGCACCTCCAGGGAAGGGGCATCCACAGCTTCTCTGGGCAACCTGTTCCAGTGTCTCACCACCCTCACAGTGAAAAAATTCTTCTTTGACTGCTCAACTAGAATGAGAGATGTGGAACAAGTGGTACTCTGCCTCCCCCCTGACAACAGGAATGTAGACCTCTTTTCATATCCTGAAATGTCTCTATGTCAAATAGACTGTGCATAAGTGTTTTTGTATGTGCATGTATGTTCTGCGTGGGTAGTTTTGAGTTGATAAAAGTTTTCCACATCTTTCCTACCATTCATCTCCAGCAGCTGAAAGGGGAGATTTTTACAAGGCAAATGAGCTGACCTAACTCAGTGCAGGAAGGGATTGTCTCCTCTGGCCTCTTCCCTTGTACTGGCTGTGGCTGGTATCTGATTAAAAACCAGAAGATTTATCAATTAAAATTTATCGATTAAAAAAATGACTAGTTTCCTGCTGATTTAGTTAGCCAGCTTAGCACGCTGCAAACTCACAGTGGCCATCTTTAAATCATGGATATGGCTTCCTACCAACTAGAGGTAGATCAACAGAATATTTGTCTTTTGTTAGTACTTCCTTTGTCCCTTTCCATCACATTCCTTGCCTATGCTTTGCCTTGGTCATATGCCCCTTCTCTTCTCCATTCCCTGTTTGAAAAAGTAGACTTGTACATAATCCATACTTGAAATTACAACTTTAGACTGACCATGTAATCAGTTTGTGTGTAAATCACTGTCATGTATAGTTGGAGTTAAAGGAGTTTCTCAAATAAAAAAAATATTGCATGTTTTGTGATCTGGGTCTTGTGTTTCTGATGAGAATCTGTGAGATCAAAATAATAAAATCTAAATTAGTTTCAGAAACTGGAGTAGTCAGGCTTCCCTGGCAACTGTATTGGTTTTATAATGATTTCCTGTTTTTTCAAATGTTAGAAGTACTTTTGTTTGTTACTGAGTGGGAGGTCCCTCAGGGAGAGACTGGCAGAAGAAAATGTTACTATCATCCCTTTTATGAATAGTAGTATCTTAGATAAAGTATCTTCAAAAGATGAGTTTTGGATTATTTGTTTCTCCATTATCTGGTGTTACCTGTCTAACGCTAATATGAGATATTTCACATTAAAGTGTTTTTCTGCCTGTATATTTATAGGGAAAACAGCCGAGGAGTGAAGTAACAATGGTAGAGCTTAATGTGTTACGATGAATCAGATTCATGGGAAAGGAAAACCATGCCTGCTGGCTTTGAGCAATCAAGAAAGAAATGCCCATGAAGACCGTTACTTTGTAGTCAGTGTTCTCTTAATACCAGGTTACAACCATCAAATATAAGTAAAAATCGCTTTTTATACTCCATTTTTCAAGACAGGAGAGATCTACAGGTATAAAATATCCTTATGTAATGCTTTCTGGAGTTTTCCCTGGAGTATTTTTATTAACATTTATTTCCTACTTTCTGTTTCATTTGTTCAAAAGTTATAAACTCTTTAGTGAACAAGCTGTAATTATTCTCTTCTGTCCTGTAAAGAGAAACTGTTTCTGGAGAAAAATACAAAACTGATACTGGGGGTGTTTTTTGTGTGATTTTTCCCCTAGCTGACACCATTTTTAAAGTGTGATGTTGCTCCTAATCCAAGAAACTTCCTTTATATAGATACTTGGTAGTGGCCATTTCTTCAAACAAAGGGCAGAGTGTTTAGTTTTAAACAGGCCCTGTTCTTTTCTCCTCTGATTATTGCGAACCATGGAGGCTGAAATTCACAAAACCAGAGTTTGTAGGGATTCTTACCACTCTCTGTTCTGGAAAGGGAAGATAAAATTGTGTGTGTTACACGGTATCCATAGGATGATTCACTGGTTTGTATTGCATGGTTTTCTGCTTTACGCCATCAGATTTGGGGCATCCAGAAGGAATTTGGCAATGTGTTCCTGTATTGCCAGCTCTGCTTTTCAGCAGCTGCAAGAGGCCAAGTGCTTCTGCAGGGGCTGAATTGCTAGAGGTTGCCCCAAGATTGCTTGTTTTCTGAAGTGCCAGCAGAGGAAAGATGCTGATGGAGAGACTCCTACCTCCATATCTCCTACCTACCTTTGAACCCTCTGCCCTGTCTGTGCAGGGGGTAGCCTGTCTTTCCCAGTGGCCACTATTGACAGGGCAGGGATCATGGCTAGTTCTTGGCTGTCCCGGGCTTGCCATTTAACAAATATCCAGGATTAATATCAACTACTCTGGAGCTTGTTTTTCTAGACAGAGGCCTTGACTCACTCAGGCTCAGTTCTGAGGATATGTGCTCTTTGCCAGCAGTCCTGGTTTAAATTACTCATGTTCTTCTGCTCCGCATTTACCCATTTCCATTGAAGTCTATGGAAAAAGTCTCATTTATTTCAATATGGTTCATTTTGGAGTTTTTGTATTTATTTTTATGTTCTTTCCAACATCTGATTTATATAAAAAGTTACATAAAATCAGACAGATTTTATCTCCATTATATAAACACTGAAGTTCAAGATTGAAATGGGAAGGAAGAAGAATAGCATTAAACCTTCAACCTATTCCCTACTGCCTGCTACTACACTGAGTTCCATCAGGATACTTGTGATGCTTCAAACTGATATGCCTAAAAAAAACCCAAATCACTCAATGAGCTCAAAATCACCCTAGTATCTAATCATAGAGTATGTATTTTTCTCTGAAATCCAGTCTGTCCTGATAATGATGGTCTAGGACTTTAAAGGTGAGCCATAGTCATACTCATGGAGATGTCACGGAATATAAAAGAATCCTCTCCACCCTGACCAAATCAAAGCAAAAAAAAATTATCATCACCAGAATGAAGTAGACCTTGTGGTAAACAATCCAAGAAGATTTTGGCAATGCATTTTCAATTAGTAGCATGGCTGAATTGGTTTTAATATAGAGTGAGGTGGAGAACTGAGAGCTTTTCATATAACTGGATATAACATTTTTCTCCACAGAGGCAACTGAGTCTGTTTGTTGTCACTTGTTGTGACTGAGGAGGGTTTAATATTCACAGCTTATTTCGTGCCACCAAGACTCATTAGCAGGTGGGATCCTCACACATTTGAAAAGCAGAGAGCAGGACAAGGGGCTTCAGCCTGTGTTCTTTCTAGTGGTGTGAATCCTCAATGGGCTACAGCTCCTTAGGTAAGCGTAACTTCTAATTAACTCATTAGTATTATTCTTGTGAGCAGCCACGATTGAAAAACATTGTGGGCATAACGGAAAACCAAATCAGATAAAATTAATAATTTTTATTGTTAAAATCACAGGAACAAAGTATTTCAAGTACTTAGTTGCACTCATAGCTGTGGTCTGGTGAAAATAGGGTAAATTATATGCATTGCAGTTAGTGTTAGGGAAATTGGTTCCTAAGAACTTGCCTTTAAATGCACTTCTCTTTCTAGGTCATCTAATTTCTGTCTGCCCTAGGAAAAAAAAGTGTTTTATGTAAGCCCATAGTAAACTCAGTGTTGCATTTTTGCAGTGTTGCTTTATTTACTTTCCGATGTTATTAATGATAATATGTAGTTGGGAGAATATGTGATGATAACAAAATCTGAATTTGAGAAATGTAATAATTTTTTGATTGATTTTTAGACAATTTTATCTAAACAAAATCAGATCTTACAAAAATAATTCATCATAGGGTTTACGTTCTTTCCTGCCTAACAGTAGTCAGCAGCCTCAGATTGCAGGTAAAACCTTTTGTATCAAAACCAAAAAATCCTGGATCACTAAGCCTTTCACTCTATCAGTAGTAATGTAAGTAGCAAAACTGAATAAATAGATAGACATTGTTGCACAGGTAGATGTAGTCCTTGACTCAGAAATGAGAGAAAATTTTCCAATACTGTTTTTGTTTATTGCTGCTTGGATTATAGTTGCTTTTGCTTCTTTTCTCCTGTAAGGTGAAACCATGGAAATGCACAGGAACTACTTTCTCCCCAAAACTAGACAAATACAATTTGGTAAGATTTCTATAAAAGTAATTAAGGTAAATATGTTTGGTAATTGATTTATTCTTAATTGTAAAACCCCTATATTTGCATTTGCAAGTGGTCCTGTTTGGAAAACAGAAGGTACAAGTGACAGAAGGAGCAGAAGAGAGAAAGTAAAGCTCTTAGATTTACCTAAAGTTTGCCCTTACTGAGTTCCCCCAAAAAGTAAAGCTCCTCCTCACCATACTATCGTAGCTGCTGGAAAGCAAAACTGTGATGGGCTGGACACAGCATGTGCCTTCACCTATTTGGAAAGGTGACTGGGAAAGTCGATGGTAATAAATGAGTGTTATTTTAGAGAAGATTTTTTGTTACTTGTTCTGTGCAAAGAAATTCGTCTGCATTCTGGTCTGTGGGAAAATGGTGGGACTGAACCCTATGTGTATGTAAAATATGCTTGATTCAACTTGATTTAGAAGTGAAACCTCGCAACCTGAGCCTCAAAAGTGAGAGAACTCAGCCTGTTCCTTCAGTGTAACTCTTTGTATTTTGATGTGGAGAGAAAAAGTCTTAAGGAAAATAAAATATAACGTATCTCTTTCAGAGCAAAATAGTGCTAGTTCTAATAATAGGCAACGTAGACAGATGTGTATGGGGCAGCAGACTTCATAGTGGCAACTGACCTCATGGCCTGTGTTTCTTCCAGAGCCACAGAATACCATCTTTGCCCTCACTAAATTATTTGATGGTGGTGGTAGTTCCTTCCACAGTAGTGCTTATTTTCTCTGCCCTCAAGCAGCTGAAGAGTGACAAACCAGTCTGGCCAAGGTTTTGGCATCACCATTCCATTCCTATGACAAGAACAGTCTGGTTCCTCTTATTCAGGGCAGCCAAATCAGTTTTGTCTGTATTCAGAAATACTTTGAACTAACCTGGGACATGTAGCTGCTGTTACACAGCGTCTTAGGAACTGTCAGTCTCTTGCCTATTTCTTAATCCTCTGGGGTTACCCTTACTGTGTTCCCAAATTTCCCTGGTTGACTTTAAAAAGATAATGTAACATTGATACGTGACTGCTTTTTTATTTATTTTTAGTTTTTTAATGAAACAAGACTACTTTGCCATGTGAAGCAACTTGTGTTAACAATTCAGATTACATTCATGCTTTAATGGTAAGATTGCATACCTGTCTATTGGTCTTCTATTTTGAAGTATATCTGTGTTACCTGTAATACCTGTCATGACAACTCTTTTTGTAATTTTCTCCCTGTTGTAAAAGTTTTGGATTTTTTTTTTTTTCTACACAGTCACAACAGGCCAAATTTTGATGAGAATGAGACACTTAACACAGAACAGGTATTTGCCTGAAGGCTAGCAAAAAGTGATACCAGTAAATACTTGTTTATGCTGGAATGAACTTGGCACTGTAGAAGATCAACATGTAATGTTGTAGTAAGTCAGTCACATACAAATATAAACAGGATGTAGTGCCCTTGTTGAATCAGGTGTGACATATCAGACTGGATTGTATGGGTAAATACAGAGATAGTAATAATGGACAAATTTGTGCTTAATGTGCAGCAGTTAAGCAGTGAGCTGATGTTACGTACCACTCAAATCAACAAGGCTCATGCCTTGTCTTATATACTGACAAAATATGTACTTACATACTTGCAAAAGCCAGTGGCAATCTCCCTATCGTCCATGATGGGAGATGAAAGTTCTTTGCATATTTTCTAGAAGTGAAGATTCACTGTGCCTGGGGAGCAGGCATTTCCAAAAGAGTTCCTCTGGTGGTACAGACGATATAGAGACAGTACAGCGGACTATATTGTGTTGAAA